CAGATAGATATAGATGAAGATATCATATACAGATAGATATAGATAGAATAGATAGACAGATAGAAAGGTAGATAGATAGATATTAAAGAGAAAGAGAGACAGAGGTAGAGACTTGCTTTTTGACCGCATACAAAAGAAAACAAATATATCGAGGAATGGACTTTAGTTTGCTGCATCTCAATTTTAATTCTCATCTCATTTTGTTAATTACTTCATTAGTTAGTTAGTCCATTGTGTTAACTAAATATGCATCTCTGATTTGCTTTCTTTTCTTTTTCAATTTTGTTTCATCTTTATTTGCAATTCATGTTCGCTAGAAATATGTTATCTGGCCCAAAGTAAGTATAACATCAATTGTATTTGAAGGAAAGAAATTTAGGTTTCTTTGTTCTCCCTCACATTCCTAGATAATTTACAACAATCTAATTCTTTTTTAGGGCAAACAGAAAATAAACAAAATATCTGAGTAAAACACGGAGTTCGAGTTCATTCAATATTCACAAGGAATGCCTTAAAGTTCACGAATCATACCATTTTTGTGTGAAATTGAGAATGTTCTTTAAGCTCAACGGGACGGTGACTTTTACTCCACTTGCGTCATAAGGATGACTGAGGAAGCAGATTCCCAGGAAAGCCATATTGCTTGTTTGGGATTAACAATTATTCATTTCCGAAGGTTTCACAATCCGCTTCCTTATCATGGCTAAACCTAATAGCATTCTCCTTGTCTGACTTTACCTAATAGTAATTGTTATTTAGATTGGCAGTAGGTCGACTTCCACTAACTACTTTTTGGCAACTGATTTTACTATCTTATCAAACTTCGACGTCAGGCAATCTAATAACAGGTAGCCATCTTGGTAAGGTCCATTAGGCTCTCTTGGCCTTTGAAACTAGTTCTGATCGAGTCAGAGTGTTGTCCGGAATGCGCCTGCAGACTACCTACATGTATGCCGTGTCCATTCAGTTTGTGAATAGACTTCGGAGTTTACGAAGAAGAGAAATACCACTTTATTACATGTAACGTTCACTGTGCATTCTGTGCGTTCAACATACATCTTCAGCCTAACATAAGTCTTCAGCCTAGAAATGTACAGTCTGGTCTAGTATCAATAGTAATAGCAAGTAGCTATCTTGGCAAGGTCCATTAGGTTCTCTTGGCCTTTGAAACTAGCTCTGATCTAGTCAGATTGTTGACCGGAATGCGCCTGCACTCCTCATTGTTTGCCTTGCCCCGCGGTCCTTCTCCGTCTCTGGCATTTCGGGTTAGATCAGATGGATGCGCCCGTGCGTCCCTCCGGAACAGACACCGTGGTATATCATGAAAGAATCATATCACATCCCCAGACTGCGATTCAATAGGAATTCGTCCCGAGGGCATTGCCAATACTACCGAAAGATTGAAGACCTAAAAGTGGAGGAGCGCGCCACCGAGGCTTAGTGCAAATCCAATTTATTCCCTTCGCCCCTCGAGGGTATTCTTTTTTGGCCATGCACAAAGTATGTCAAGGAATACGAAACAGGCTGAGGTAAAACCAAGAAGGCCGTTTCCTCTTTAACGAGGTAGTATCAGATGACCCTAAACCTTCAGCGGATAGAATGTAATCTACCGTTCAACCACTTGAAAGCCCATTTCAGTGCAGTAGTTGGTGAATGGCATTAAATTGTAGCTATACAATAACCTTCTGCTTATGGCGTGGTCTCATTCGTTGTAGGCGTTGTAGTAGGATTTTGATGTCGTAGAATGTACAAGTAGATTCTGCAAAATACCCAGCCACCCACAAGAATCTAATACAGCCTTTTTGTAGCAAGTTAGACCATGTTTGTACACCACTTGCACGACTATACCAAGTACACCATCAGAGTTGCGATCATATCACGATCACACTACAAATATGACCATGTTTTCAGTTGCTCTGATGTTACAGGTACGGCTAAATAAGCTTCTTATCTAAATAAACGGAAGACGTAAATCACATACTCCATCCAAACCTCGATTGTATATGCGACGTATGATTCTGATATCACGACATAAAGCGAAAATGCGTGGGATGTCTTTTCAGTTTCCCCACTAACAATCTCACAATCTGGCAATCTTGTACACCAAGGATGAGACACCATAACCAAAATTGACCCACCCCCCGGTCAAAATCCAAATCTTACAGAAGCTTTCTTTATCTTCTTGCGTAAGTTTGCGATCTCGCTGTCAGCAGTCGAGCTTGTTTTTGGTGAAATTGCTGACTTGGGTTATTCTTTTCTCCTGTGAGTTTCCGTGTCAGAGCATGACTGATGATATGCCGAACCCACCAGATAAGTCACCCTAGGCAACATGACGCCAAAGTAGGACGAACAGAGTTTAATACATGAGACGTATCAGTCTCTCCGTGCTCTAACATCATGTTTCCTCATCCCCGCTGATACACTCAGATCTCTTCCTGGTAGTCAGACAGAATTTTCCACGAGCTCACACTGTGGTACTTTCAGTTCGACACGCTGCTTACAAATTTGTTCAAACGATGACATGTGATTCTTCTCAGCGATGGTAATGATATTCAACGTCAGTGTACCTCCAAAATGCAACAAATAATTCGAGATGATATACATTTGCTACGGTGCTATCATCGTCATTGTTGCTTGGGGGTGTTATTGATATCCCCATGATTCAAAAACTGCTCAATATAACCGTCATATGTCCCATTGCACACCTGCAAAAAGTCCCCCAGGACATACGGCAATCAATGTGATGAATGTCCCACTCAGACTAACCCCGGACTTCGCCGGTATTTGGAGTCCAGAATGGCGGGTATGTTTATGTAGCAGCTGTTGGAACCCCGGTTGTTGACGGGTAAACCTTTTAAAACACGCTCTTCTCGGGAACTAAATCAAGAGATTATCACATAGACGTATGGTGTGCCATTGGGTAAATAGCGTTAGGCATGATTATGTATGTTGCCTGTCCCCCGTCGCCTCGCTGACAATGTCTTTGAAAACTCTGTAGTACAGGCGTGTACTCTGCATTTTAACAATATTGTAACCAACGAGCTTACAAACGGTATTGCCTGTTATGTTTCGTAGGAATATATTATTAGATGGGCGTAACCCGTTGATGTGGATAAGTAATACAAATAGATCGAAAGGATATAAACTATTTCTGACGCGATTGATATAATAACTTAATCACTGAAATACCTTCACTGTATATATTTTGTCCAAATGTGTTGTCAAAATAAGCCTCGCAATTCAGCCATCACGGCTGCCAGGAGGTTTGTCGGTGCTCGTATGTTCTTGCTTGCTTAATAAACCAGGCTACGCAATAAACAAGCTAAACTCTTCATTATCTCTCTCTCTCCAGTGTTTGTCTAGAGCCATCTTGCTTTCACCGGAAGGTACCTAGTCATCACTAGTGGACTAACCATGATGAAGATGGTACCTATAACAGTCGTCATGCAGTACCTGGTCCTCTGCGTTGTTGTGCTGGTGGTGTCCAGATCTGTGGGAACGACCAAACCCATTCCGACTCCTGGCCTCAATGCTGCTTTGGAGAGTCGCGCAGCAGGCAGACCTAAAGAACTCCTCCTCGAGAGGAACGACCGGTACAACGTAGCAATATCTAACCACAGTTCCAGTAAAATTGTACAGAATGAATACCGCAAAAACGTTTTCAAAGCGACACACGCTATCTCTAGGACACGTGCTGAGCCCGACGCCGAGATCCGGGTCCTGATGAAGATGACGTCCCTCTCGTCACGGTTGTCACTCCGGCGCAGCGAACGGTCTGCGTATGAACAGAACCTGGAGCAGGAGAGCTCTCAGCTCTTTCAAGAAGGTTCTCAGCTGTTTCAGGTTATAACCTGCATCATTAATGTGACTTGCAATATGGGAACTCCCAACTCAGAATGCACGTGTGTAAACGATCTGGACGCCTTCGGGCAGCCCAAGTGCACGCTCCCGAAAGCACGAATCACACACAAATCGAAGGTGACAATCGTGCCAATGAACCTGTTCTGTGCCGGGGTCGCGCTTCCTCTAGTGGACGATAAGACACAATACGACGTCCATGCTTCGTGCAGCATCTTCGCACCCCAGGACGTCTCCTACAAGGTCAACTTCATCAAAGAAGACTTGGAACGGGACGTTAAGACAGGAGGACTTATCTTAAAGTACAAGGCATGTCTAGAGCCGGAGAAGAAGAGGTAGATTTAACATATCACATTGGTCTGTTCATTAGAGAGTCTACGGGTAAATACAAGGTATACGGTGGGGCATTTACGATACGATTGTTGATGATCAACAAGATGATGTTGAGGAACTGTGCGAAAACTGAAGTGGAAGAAGATTGCACTGTTTGGGGTACATGAGAGGCCAAACGTGTTATGGGATTATATTATCTCCTCAAGACAGTACCGTTGCAATAATAGTTTGCCCTCTCCTATAGGATGACCTGTGATGGAAACACCTGTGCTTAGAGAGTGATGCCACCAACTGTATCATAAGAAACCCAACTCAAATGTGTAGCTAATATCAGAGTAGGACTTTTAGAAAGTGGTCTTTTATCATGTTTTGGCACTCGTGTTAAACGTAAGCTCTCAAGCTGAGAACATTTATCGCCATTGGATAAAGTTTGAATTAAGGAGTTGTTCATCGTTTTTCATGACCCCTTTAGTTGATATGATGGTTCGTAAATAAAGCAGTTATGTCACACTTGGAATGTGTTTTGTCTCATTTCCACCGCGTTGTATATTGTTTTATACAGCTTGGATAAATATATTTATTATATGTTTTGTCGGTGAAATATATTTGATATCTATTTTCAAACAATTCCAGAATGAGTTGACGGAAAAATAGTAAAATTGGTTATGTACGGAATAATATGCCAGAAGCCTCAATGAGTTACCGGTGGGTTATCGAAAATTCCTATTAATCTGGATCATTGCCAAATTGTGGTAGACGATATACGAGAGACCTTTGACCGTGTATTTATTTCATAACCAAATTTAAAGGTAATTAAAATAAGTAGCAATAGTAGCAATAAACTCCATGGCACATTTGATCAATAGCTAACGTCACGTATCCGTGAGGTCTAGTATGAACGAAGTCACGGGTCTGTAACCGTAACTCTCGCGAGATTACGTTCGAAGTGATTGGTCATTAATTATCCTGATGAAGGTGACAGTGGTCATTGAAAATTTTTGATTTCTGTATAATCCTTGTGTTGGAATAAATTTCGACATTTTAGTATTATTAATACCAACACAAATCAACTTTTATGATAAGTAGTGATAGGAATTGTCTCAGGCCCTTCACCGCATATTTTATCATATTAATGGGATCTGTGTAACTTAGCCTATGTAAATATGTTCGTTCAGCAAAGCAAAAAGTAGTAATAGTGTAAATATGCATTAATTGATTTAACCACTTGGAACACCATGCATGGATAGGCAACAGGGCTGAATTTTCACGATCTGGTCTGAGTGGTTCTTCAAAGATAAAGATGATTTCAAACGTCTTATACGTATTACACTGGTAATCTAAATATGTATTAATAACATCACTGTCACTGGCAATATTTCATGTTCATCTTCGTCGCTGATGATCTATCAAAGAGTCTAACAAGTCCTGCTCAGTCACAAACACAGAGCCCTTGGTGTATGAAGGGTATTGGTAGTGTATCGTGTACGATAACTAAGTTAATATCTCTTTCAAAGAAAATCGAAAAAACACTGCATGCATATGCACAGCACTTCCAAATATGCCACCAAGCCAATAATCATTCTAATTTGACAACTGTCGCCCACATACTCAATTTAAGTTTAAGTATGCTATTCTAAAAATATATAATCAATATGAAGCAGTGCCGACACCTAACTTGTGTTACACAGAACTAAAGAAGCTCTCTTATTATCCTTATAGCATTACTTCTGCTGATGTCGAGTCACCAGTTTCCAAACCGGGGCCCGGCCGAGATGTTTGGAGTTACGAAAAATCAACAGTTTTTATCAGAAAAATAGTAAGGCAAATAGATCCATTGTTAATTTTTTTAATCTTTTGGGGCTTTTTTCTGTCTTTTATACCATATTTTTCGTTCCATAAGACTGCCCGGCCGCGCGGGTCCCGGTTTGGAAATGTGACCACAGCATATCCGTACCGAACACATAAAAGCGAAACGGTCTCGGTTACTTGACTCCCAAACGGCGCCGAATATTCGAAAATCGATCGCAGTATAATACGTCACAATCAGAGAAATTGGCAGATAGCTCTTAATTTCAGATAACACTTGTACTACAATTAAGTACACAATAGCGACCCTCTGACAGCTAAATCAATCATGGGTTTGGCCGTTTATTTCACGCTCTCATAGAGATAGGTGTTGCCCTCAGAATACAAAAGTTGCACAGGACCAAACTGTTCCTAAAGCCTTTGTCACACAACAACGACATACCCCCGAATTTGTTCCCGAACTCCAGCCGACCTGATGTTCGAGGGCATTCTGGTCAGATTTAGGCCACGCCTACCTTTTGATACGAATCGAGTCAAATTTGAGTCAAATTTGAACCCCGAATATGCTAAGAACATTGCTAACTTACTCCCGAGTGGTGGGCTGATATTTTGCTAACTTTCAGCGAAGCACCAGCCAGCCAACTATGATCGAACCTCCCGACCAAATCCCGAATCTTTTAAACATTTTGAAACATTCGGCTGGCGCAGCCGAATAGCAGCCGACTTCGCCAAACACCGTCCGACTTTGCGCTGACCCCCTCCTAATCATGGTTGGGGTCGTTCGGCTACTGTTCGGAAGGCCGTATTTGTGAATGTGTGACAGGGGCTTAAACTTTGTCTAACGGTGTCAAAAAGTTTGCAACCCTTGACAATAATCACGCATTTAGATGCAAACATCATTATTTGCCGTCCAGCTGAGACAGTGATTGAACAGAGAATTACTATCACCTGACAGGGTATAAATCACGTAGTTCGTACGATGGCTTTCCTCGTGCGTTTGTGCAGCACTTGACTGCAATTTGTGAAGGCGCCAATCGAGTGATTTTTATTTTTTTCCCGAAAGAATGAGAGCTTTTGACCCATGATATGATAGGTAATAACGGACGCGACGGTTGACCAATTGCACCGTACGGCCAATGTGGACCTCCAGGATCTGGCTGGCAGTATTAACGGGACATCATAAGAATCGTGTGGCCTTTCAAATCCATCTCCGCTCTCCGGCGTCTGACACAGTAATATGCCATATAGTTGATGTCAGGTGCGATACCGTCCTGGCAAAGGTGACCATACGTCAGGAGCGTTGGAGATGCCTTCTGCTTTAACAAACATATTTTTGGATGAGAAAGTGTCGGTGGACTGTAAAAAAAACGTCGCAGAAGATACAGGCAAAATGTTGCTATATGTGGTACATCTAAACTATATGTGTAGATTACACATCATTGGATGACCACGGAAGAAGGATATGTATTATAAGTTGTTTTTTTACACTTACGCTCAGAATCATTAGCTTTGGTCGAGACAGCTTAAGTTATCATTTTGTTTTCTGTATCTGTATAGGTGGTGTAACCGCCCTTCGGCATAACACACCAGCTTCTGTATCTGTATATGTATAGCCGGTATAACCACCTCTCGGCGTACCACACCAGCCTCTGCATCTGTATAGCCGGTATAACCTCTCTGAACTGAACGACCTACCTAACCTTAGCATGTTTAGCCGCAAGCATTGTTTAACAGGAAAGTTATCAAGTGAAAGATGAACCTACTCTACTGTGGCAACGGTCAACACAGCGACAGTTCTTGATGAATCGAAATGTAGTAATCTTGTGTAAGATATCTAAAATTAGTCTACTACACAGACCCGTGTACCACATCACAAAACTGAATTTGAATAAAAATGTATTGATTTCGAGTGTACATTGAACTGTATAATTGTAACTATAAATTTATACATTTCTTCATTTTCTTGTAATACGTCTGTACTTTTTGTGCACTTGGACCAGCCTTTACCAGACAATACAGAAAAAAAATGTTGGGAAACGTAAATAAAGTTAACTTATTTCTTACTTTGACTAATGCATCTCAATAGCAATGATGAAGTAAGTTTACTTATGATAGAAAGTGAACACTGAATAGACAATTTAGCAATCTGTTGTTCTTGTTAACAAGAAAACCCGCCACACTTATCACCTTGAGTTGAGTGGTGCCAGAAGATTGATCAACACAATTGGCGTTTCTAAATCCCCACTCACAGAGCACTTACAGGCGCCAGCAGCCTGGAAAATCAGCCCAGCCACCGATGTCTCCAACGGGTCTTTGGTAGACTAGCTCGCACCCGACCGTTCGGCAACCCAAGGGCTAGATTGGGCCATGTGGATGTGATTATATGGATGACATCCCCTGGGAAAACCAAAACTGACGCGAGCGTGCAAATAAACAAAGTTTGGCAAAAGAAGTTTCCTTTATTATGAAATCTATGCGGTCATAAAGGTTGAACAAATGACTAAAAACACAGTGTATGGTGTGGCGAATAATAATGAGGTCTACATGTTCATTTCCTCACATTTTGTTCTTTTCCTGCAATGATTTTGGCATTCAATGACATTAGTATCGCTTTCCAGTCCTTATTTAAACATACGACATATATTCGCTCATTTGTATGATTTGCAGTTATTTTTTTGGAAACGGACGAAATTCCATGCGCGCGGATGTCATCCATATAATCAAATCAACATCGCCTTACATGGCAAGCAAATAATGATATACATGTTATAAGTGATACCTGCGCTATAGCTCGTCATGGTCAATCTATCAGAAAAGTTGCTGACAGGGATTGCTGGACTAGACACTGATGTTTGCCTAGTTCAATTATACAAAATCGAAATTGATACCACCGGTTGTAATTGGGTGTCTACGGGTATAATACCACTGTCTCAAACCAATTAAGTTGTTGGAACTTTCCACATCGAGCGGGGTGAATGCGTCCTTGGAAACTTCTAAAGCGTGTGTTCATTTATAGGGTGGGATATCGATGTTATAACTGTGGTTTCCTACAGATTTTGGGCCTCGCCCTGTTTCGACAACGCAGAAAACACCAATGATGGTTGGTGACACTGACATGACAGGGAGTTAGGTCAAAGCTTCTAGAAAGCTTCCAGAAAAGGTTATCTTATTTCCTGTCTTCAAATTTCCAGCCATATGTATATCAGTTGCCTTAATTGAGCCTTCCCTTTTACTAATGATAACTTATTATCATCATCATATCGAAAGTTCTTATGATGAATTTTAAACATCTTTTGGATTTGTCATATATCTGTCGTACGATCTAGCTTAGTGGTCATTTGGATTTCTATTGAGCAACACCGTTAAATAAACTCCACGCCTCTATATGACATGTTCGCTATGATAGCAAGTTATCAAACTCACTTTGAAAATGTCCCCAAGATCAGTGGTAACTTTTGAGGCAACTTGATGACATTTCTGTAAGCTTTCCTGGAGTTTTTTCTTGACCAATCGCAACAATATATTGCAGTTACATGTAACGTCAACGGCAGGTTTTGGGC